GGGGCCTCAAAACACGAGTGCATCCGAGCCCCGCTTGCCGACGTGGATTCCCCCAGCACACCAAGCTTTGCTGAATCGCGAGCGCTGTGCTCTCTTTGCTTTTGGCTGGTGCCTCGAGCCATTTTGGTCCAACAGCCTCAAGCCTCCAAAATTTCCGGATTGGCTCAATTTCGATTCTCGAGTCTGCCTGGGCGATGTACTGGCAGTTGAAGGGCTATTTGGGGCTGTTTGGACCCTTTTTGTGGGGCTGTTTGGGCCCCTAAAGGGCTGTTCAATCTGCAGGAGATTGAGGTCCCTAAGAGGTACTGATGGTGGCTGAAGTCTTGCCTTCAAACAAGGCAGGAGTGAATGCGGTGTATTATCGTAGTACCTGGGCTACCAACTGGGCCGCCGGGGTCACCTTGGTTGCCCAGGCGGCCGGCCCTGGCAAGGGCCAGGCAAGGTCCCTGCCCCCCCTCAAAAAAAGAATTCATTTCTTTTATCTGGAAAAAAAACTATGTCCCTGGCCCCCACCCCCCCACCAAAAAAAAAAAAAAAAGACTTCATTTCTTTTTTAAGCTGAAAAAAGAACTATATTAGCACAATAATAGATTGAACAACTTCTGTCCGAGGGTCACATCGGAATTCTTTACCAAATTGAAAAAAAAAAAAAAAATTGTTTCTTTTTCTTTTTTTGACTTCTTGGCCCGGCCAAATAATTGATCCCTGCCCACTCTCGTAGCCTGGCATAGTACAAGGGTGAGGGCAAGGGTGAGGGCCATGGCTCATTGGACATGATGCTGCAAGGAAAGGAGGGGTGATAACACCTGGCTTTGATTCATTGTCGAAACGCTCGAAGTCTGACAATCATTGGAGACCACCTGTCTTCTCCTGAATAAGAGCATGCGGGCATGATTACTTGGAAGGCTGGGTCTTTGGGCATTCTAAGGTGGGAGTGGTAGTGTCTCGGCTTTCTCTATGGGGATGACCGAAGGCATCTGAAGTCGTCTGTTCCCCATCTTCTGGGCCCCACAGAGGTTGAAGAGAAGTGATGTGCTCCTCTGGCAGATCTAAGGGTAGGTGATTGGCTATGATTGAGGCTGTGAAAATATCTTCTGATCTGTCTGTAATTTTTGCCTGCCTGTTAGTGTCTGGATGATTCTCTCTGTCTTATCATCGATTGAGCGCCGCAAGCAAGCAGTGCCTGAAAAAGTTGCAGATACGAAGTAGTCGAATTCCCAATAAGAATGAATTTTCCGCTAGAACATGAAAAAATACGCCGCCATATTTTTTGTCTTTTCTGCATGGCGTGAGTAGTGGGGTGCGGCCCGATGTTAAGCAATATGTGTGGACAACGTAATGCTCAGAAAGGATCTGTTGAAAGTCGAAAACCAAAATTGGCTGGACATGGGGGCCTTATGATGTGTCTTTCCGCCTATGAAGAGTCTGATTCCCTTTGTGTTTGGTCTTCACTGGAGGATGACTATTCTTTGCTGTGAAAATTGAGAGTATCCATTCCACATTTGATTGGACTGGAAGACATCCTGCGTGTTGGATTAGGAGAGGAAGGTGGACAACCCATGATGAATGGGTTGTTTGCTGTGCCAACAGGATCTGTTTTTCTTCTTTTTTCCTTTTTAAAAATTTTATTATATAAATTTTTAATAAGTTGTGGCAGCAGGATCTTAGCATGGGGTCATGTAGAATTAGGATTCCTGGCAATTTCTGCTCATCTGCAAGAAATAAAAATTAAGTTTAAAGTTTAAACTTTAAAGAATGGAAAGTCCCGTTGCAAAGCTATGTTACCTGGGTTGCCCGGCTGGGAAGCCGGGCAGAGGCAGGCAAGACCCCTCGTGCCCGGGTAAACTGGCAGGGCAAAAAATGGAGAGGAAATTAGAAAACTGACCTCAGGCCAGATCTGCACTTGGACTGAGCACTTGGAATCTGACCTTATCTTTGGACTTGGTCATGGTTCGCATGGGCGGGTTGTAAATGGGGTTAGCTGACCGTTTCCCCCCCCCTCGGTGGTCAGTCGTCACCCACCCCCCGCATTTTTTTTGCGGGGTCCATAACCCCCAATAACCCAACCACCCCCCACATAACCCCTCACACCCCCCTACACCCGTATACACCCCCATACATCCCCCAACACCCTCATACCTCCTCATAACCCCCTATCCCCTTCTCCTCCCCCCCCCCCCCACCCAGCACGCTCAGTACAGCCGTGAACTCAGATTTGAAAACACAAATCAGCGGATGGCCTTCTACAGACTGGTCGGCAGACGGCCCACTGGTCAGCTGTACTGGCAGGCTGCAAAACGGTCGACGGGCATGCAACCCCTAGTCAAAACTTAGAAGGGGGGTTCAATCCACAAAAGTGTTCAGAGGGGTATATCTGCGCTTTTTTTTTATTTTTATTTTTTAATAGAAACAATTAAAAAAACAGGGCCTTATGGTCCTGGCTCCTTATCTATTCTGGGGAGCATTAGTCCCGTTTCTTTTTCCCTCGCAAGGCATAGAAATACGTCAACATTGCGCACACGATTCCTTCTGTTTGGCCGAAGGACCCCTGAACGGGGTTGAGGACTCCATTGTCATTGATTGACTGCCAGCTTGCCTTTCTTCTAGAATTATGTTTTTTTTTTTTATCTTCAATTCAAGAAGGAATCCTGAAACAACCATCAGCCAAAACTTGCTTGTTAGTGGTAGGTAGATAGTGAAAGTAAAAGTTAAAAATAAAAACTTTGAAAAAGTTGTTTGTATTGCAATTCCACGCAGAGGGATGTAAGAAGGTTACATACGGGCTACCGCCAAAACTCGTTACTGGTACACGACGCTACACAATGTGGTTGTTGATAGACAGCCCATGCGGATCAATGGATATGCATATTATGCAACTCTTTTTAAAAAAAAAACTTTGAAAGTGTAAGTAAAAGTTAAAAAAAAAAACTTTGAAAAAGTTGTTTGTATTGCAATTCCACGCAGAGGGATGCAAGAAGGTTACATACGGGCTACCGCCAAAACTCGTTAATGGTACACGACACTACACAATGTGGTTGTTGATAGACAGCCCATGCGGATCAATGGATATGCATATTATGCAACTCTTTTAACCACCGCTTTGCACCCCAGGTGAAAAAAAAAGAGAGCGTAATATGTATACAGCCGCGACTTTCGGAGCCTCGGGCTACGGGACCAAAATGGCTGGTGCTGCGAGGCAACAAGAAAAGAAGTACGAAAATAAATTGAACCGGCGCTGGTGCGTTTTTTTTTCCCTTTGACATGCAGCGTGATTTGAGATCGGTACAAACCATCCTTGGACGTAGTGGTGGTTCATAAAGTTTAAACCGCAAGTACACTGCCCAGGCAAAGTTGAGAATTGAAAATGAGTCATTCCGAAAAGTTCGAATGAATATTGCTGGCAGACCAAAATGATTGGCGGCGCTGGCCGAAAGGAAAAGAAGAAAAACAGGCCGCGCTGGCATTTTGACAAAGCTTGGCGCGCAGGTGGAATCCAGTCGTAATGAAATTGTTGATCGTTGTATCAATTTGACCCGAAACCGGATGATCTAGCCATGAGCAGGTTGAAGAGAGTGTCTAAACGGGCCTTGGGAGGACCAAACCCACATATTGACGTAGCACATTTTCATTATATTGACGTAGCACATTTTCATTATATTGACGTAGCACATTTTCATTATATTGACGTAGCACATTTTCATAATGAAAACAGAGTCTATTTAGCATGTTTGAAAATCTGGAGAGTGTTGGGCATAGGCTCTGCTGCTACTCGTTGAAGGGTGGGGGACAATGAGAAAGGGAGGCACAGCTACTGGCAGGTCTCGGTCTTTGTGTTAGCCAGACCCCCACTGGCGGCCCCAACCCTATACCCTAACCATTAGGGGCAAGGGGCAACATGAAATCTCCCCTTCACAGAGAGAGGAAAAACTATGCTTGCAGGGGTCCCCTCTAGATAGTCTTCGGAGTAGGTAATGGAAGGTAAAGAAACAGAAGTTGAGAGAAGAGTATAGAAAGAACAGAAAAAAAAAAAATTCTGCCTTTTTGTATTTAATTTAAATTACATAAGGTGTCTCGGCAAAAAGATGCTTGGATGTTCTGGTGTTTTAAGCAGGCTAGCATCCCTGAGGTGTTAAGCACACTTAGGACCATCTTTCACACACACATAGTGGGGGAGGACGGCAAGAGAGGGGGGACAGAAAAGGACCTTTGATCACTGAGCAGATACCTAATTGGGGAAGTGGGACGTCAATTTCTTCGTTAGCCGTAACCTTTCCTTTTCATGCAGGCGCACATTGCAGAAGGATACCTCACTGTACCCCCTGCTTCCCCCTGCTTCCCCCTGCGCACCTGCTGTACCCCGTGCACCCCCTGCCTTTCCTTTTCATGCAGGCGCACTTGCAGAAGGATACCTCACTGTACCCCATGAACCCCCTGCTTCCCCCTGCGCACCCGCTGTACCCCGTGCACCCCCTGCTTCCTCCCCTGGGCCCTCATAAAAGTCGTCATGAAGAGTGGCAGGTCATATTTGCTATGCGCCACGTGTACACAACATCCTGTACTGTGCATGGAGTGCGTTTGAAACGGTAAAAGGGAGGAGGAAACATCCTGCTCCCAGTTTTGGAATTCGGCCTCTACCTTTTTCACCTGAATACAACGCATGGTCATTAGAGCTGTATGTGGGGTATCTTTCCGTCTAAATAGAACAATAATGACTGTGTGTTGTATTCGGATGAAGAAGGAAGCTACGTACCCAGCCCCAGCCCTTGTGGTCGAATGTTACACGAATGCAATGGTTAAAAACAGATCAGGAGTTTGAAAGCTGACGAAACCAGAGGGATACAATACTGTTAGGGTCTATCCCACCGTTTTTTTCCCAATAAGAATGAGGAGAACTGACACTGTAGGTCCTCCAAAAGCTTGTTAGTAAGCGGTCATTGTTACTGATGCATGTACTCTGATTTGGAATTGGATACTCTTATTGTTTACTTTGTTGTTTGCAGATCCTGTGTCACTTGTTCGAGATCATCGTGTGAAGCAGGGGCTGGTTCAGCACGGGATAGTGGTGCAGTCGTTTAATGCAGATCTTCTGTATGAGCCGTGGGAGGTGTACGACGAGGAGGGCCAGGCTTTCACTACCTTTCAGAAGTTCTGGGACAAGTGCATTTTGATGGCATTTGAACCCGATCCGCCGATGTTGCCTCCCAAGCAATTGTACGGTCCCGGAGGTATGTCATCCCAAAAAGTGCCAGGCTTCTTTTCTGCTCCTTCGACGGCAGTCTGACCAACTTCAATGCCATTTCCCTGTTGCCTGTCTTTTCAGATGTAACGTAACTTAGGAGCTTAAATAGTACTGTAGGAGTGGGACTAGTGCGATTGGTTGCTCAACAGGTCCCGTAGGAATGGGACGGTGAGTAGCATAGACGCAGGAACAAAGGGAAGCATCCGAGGGGCCGGGGGCGGAACTCCGTTTATGGGGCACGTCACCAAAGCACGACTGATTGCTCCTTAGTCTGACCAATCAATAGCACTAGATCGGTGAGGTGTAATGAATCAGATGGCCCAGTGTATCCCTTATCCATACACTTTGTCAACTCACACCAAACACACCCGAATTCAAATGTGACAGTGGCAAATCTCCCATGCAAGGCCACCAGGAGTACGCTTAGACATATCTCTCCCTCCCTTCCGCACACAAGTCATGTTATCGTTGTTTGTCGTAGTAAGTGATTCTCACTCAACACCAAGAAATTGCAGCCTGGAATACTGGACCGATACCAGGCCTACAAATCCTAAAGATGCTAGTTGCGGTTTAAGCCTTACCGGCCATGCCTGTTTGCGGGGTCATAGTCCCAAGCACTAAAGTCCTGCATTTAGTGTGACCTGCATAATCAGGCAACCTACCGTCCAGGTAGCCTCCGTAGCCAAGCAGCAACACAGGTGAGTCAGGAGTTGTGAGGTCTTCATGCATTAATGGACTCGGCAATCAGTTCAGCAGCCTGGCAGCCTTTGCTCTTTATCCAAAAGCATCCACTGGCTTGAGGTAGGCTGGAGTTGGCTGTCTGCTAGGCCGTCCTTTCAAGCGGTGGCTGTCAAGCACACTTGCAATGCCGGTCCCTTCTTCCACCAACCAGCGAATGTGGTCACGTCATCCCAGTAGTAGCGTACACTGATCGGGCTCCCTTGATGTCAATGCCCCACACCGTAATCCTCCTCCCACGGATGTCCAATCAAAGAATGCGCATCGCTGAAGCTCCCATGCTGAAGACCAACAGGGTAAGTCTCCTCTCCCCCGCCTCCACATCTTTCCTCCAAAGGAGTTCTCTTTCCTGGCGCCTCTGTCTCTCTCTCATGTAGTGTTCAGCACTCAGGCATGGCTGGTGCTGCTGGCGCACGACTGGTGCTACCCCCTCCCCTGGTCGAACCTCTCATGCTGCTGGCACTGTCACTAGCATGCTAGCATTTCAGCAGCCAGCCAGCTGGAATGCACTGCTGAGTGCTCTGGCCTCCCAAGTGTTGTGAGTAGGCTGAGGACGGATTTGGACCATCATTCGTGGATTTGCAGTCCAATACATTACCTTTATGTTACTTGGCCTTTGATTTGATTGATGAAAAAGAAGGGAGGCTGAAGTCTCTCCAGACTGGAGGCTTCTCGAACAATCAATTGCCTGGGTCCTGGCTGGCTGGTCACGGTCCTGGGCCTTGCCCTCTTTCAGTCTTGTCTGGCCTGGCCTCCTCTTTGTCAATGTGTTCCGGGTGGCCACCAGGCACACTCACAGGCCGTTTGCACCTCACACTAGGGAAGGCCGATACGCTTTTCTGGCTCTTGCAGGTGGTGTGAACCTACAGTGTGTATAATCGTGCATCTGGTGTGGTAGAGCCTCCCGGTAGTGGCTGGTGCCCATCTGCACCTTCCACCTGACCTGCAACTGACATGCCACTTGTAGGCAGTGTTTCGTGGGCATGGTTAATGCCAGCGGGCATGGCGACTGTCGACAACTCTCAGCTATCTCTTCCATGCCACCACTCATGTCATCCCTACCATGTGTCCCCTCTGTCACCAAGGACAGACTTACCATGTCTCCCCTCTGTCCCCAAGGACAGACTTACTCCTGAGCCTTCATTTATTCTTCCCTGTCATCTCTAGTCCACCTCATTCCTGAGTCTTCATTTATTCTTCCTTGCCATCTTCAGTCGACACTCTTTATTTTCCCTTCGTCTGTCATTGCTCCAACTTTCCTATCTGAGGCTCTCTTTCTCGTCTTACCCTGTCTCTTTCTCACAGTTTGCATCTGTGTTGTTATTGCAGACTCTGTGTGGATGCGTCGTGCTGAATGACACCATAGTGGCCAGCCTTAGCGCACCTGAGAGGCACAGTAAAGGAGCAGCTGAAAAAAGAAAATAAAAACCGTGTATTGAGTTTCAATCCTGTCCCTGAAAGTTGTTACAGGTTTGGCGGGTTCGATCCCTGGACCTCTTGCTGGGTACGCTACATCTATTTTTCTGTGTGTCCTTGGTACTACTAGCACATTGCGTGTCCTTGGTACTACTAGCACATTGCACCCTTCATAGTGGCCAGCCTTAGCGCACCTGAGAGGCACAGTAAAGGAGCAGCTGAAAGAAGAAAATAAAAACCGTGTAGTACCAAGGACACACAGAAAAATAGATGTAGCGTACCCAGCAAGAGGTCCAGGGATCGAACCCGCCAAACCTGTCACAACTTTCAGGGACAGGATTGAAACTTGATACACGGTTTTTATTTTCTTCTTTCAGCTGCTCCTTTACTGTGCCTCTCAGGTGCGCTAAGGCTGGCCACCATGGTGTCATTCAGCACGATGCATCCACACGAGTCTGCAATAACAACACAGATGCAAACTGTGAGAAAGAGACAGGGTAAGACGAGAAAGAGAGCCTCAGATAGGAAAGCTGGAGCAAGGACAGACGAAGGGAAAATAAAGAGTGTCGACTGAAGATGGCAAGGAAGGAACGATTCCAATTCAGATCTCAGTTTCACTGCTTCTAATCATGGACCAGAGATTGCTACTCCAATGCGTGGGATTCAGACGCGAAGCGTCTGCTCTTCGAGCCTTGTTATATTCACGGATTGGTGTTGCACGCACCCATCAGGAAACTGTTAAGTACACTGCGAGAACAGGGATTTTTGAAAGGAGACTTTATACCCACGGCAAAACGTGCAATAGTCCAAAGACTCAGGAATGAGGTGGACTCTCTAGTCCACCTCATTCCTGAGTCTTCATTTATTCTTCCTTGCCATCTTCAGTCGACACTCTTTATTTTCCCTTCGTCTGTCCTTGCTCCAGCTTTCCTATCTGAGGCTCTCTTTCTCGTCTTACCTGTCTCTTTCTCACAGTTTGCATCTGTGTTGAATCATGTGGATGAGTCGTGCTGAATGACACCACAGTGGCCAGCCTTAGCGCATCTGAGAGGCGCAGTAAAGGAGCAGCTTAGGCTTCTCTGCGGTGTCTGTACGGTCAAGACATGTTCGTTTGACAATCGGTGTTATACTCTCGTCCAGACCTTCTTGGTACGGCAGCTACCGTCTTCACCCGAATAGAACGCCGGGTCATTATAGCCGTATTTGGTGCACCTGTCAGTCCAGATGCAGCTATAACAACCGGGCGTTCTATTCGGATGAAGACGGTAGTTGCTGCTGGCACTCCTCTTTGAGTGTTCGTTCATCCGGTCAGTAGTCAAGTGTGGCACTGAAGGCCGATTGCCAACTGTGTTTGTTTCTGGTCACTCCCTCTGACTACATTTCCCCTATCCATTTGCAAAAGCTCACCTTTTGCAGGTGAGGCCCTCTCCAATACCTATAGAAGGTTAATAGCCATATGCATGTGAATACAGAAGACATAAAATCTCATACAAGGACATGGGATACTGCGAAGATGATTAAAACTTGAATAAAGGCACAGTAAAATTGGGAAAACTCGGTCAAACGGACCGAGCAAGAACCTGGACTTTCTCGGGCTTTTGGGATATGTGCTAGAACTGGACTCTGGAGGAATACAGAGGACGTTGTTGGCCTGGCCCCTCGGCAAGGACTTAGACTTCTCAGAGTAAAATCTGCAATGGCCATATCGCATTCCAAAATATTTGCGCACTTGATGTGCAGCTCAATTCTGGTGGCGTTCTTCTAATGCAATTTGCTGCCAGTGGTTGTTTTGGTCTCCTTGGACTGCATCCTTTTTGGATGTGAGCACGGTTTATGTCATTGTTTCCCAATCCACCAGATTGTGTCTGAAGGTGTTAGCCCCAAATGTGTGTTCACGAGGGATTTGAACTCAGGTGTCTGCTTATCAACAACTGCATGTGTGCGCCACCAGGATGTGTTGCAATCCACAAGAAGGTATTACCATGCACGTGCAACCTCTTGCTGACATCTGCCTGCTTACTCGTCCCCCCACCCCTCCTACCCTCCTACCCTCTCCCTCGCTCTCTCTCGCTCTCTGTCTCTCTCACCACCTCCCCCTCCCTCTTCTCCCACCTGCCTCCACCTGTCTTGGGGCCCCTTTTGCCTTCCTGTTTCTTACTGTTGACCCGCTGTCAGAGGATCTGGGTGGTCCCACGGAAGAGCAACTTGGATTGGAGGACCAGGCAGAAATGGCCAGCAATCTGCTGCTGTCGAGGGCATGGACACCTGGTTGGGGGCATGCAGACAAAGCTCTGGACTCCTTTATCCGCGGGCCCCTTATTGAATATGCGGACAGTCGAGCAAAAGCTGACAGCGCCACAACGTCTTTGTTATCTCCCCATATGCACTTCGGAGAGATAAGCGTGAGGAAGATATTTCATGAAGTTCAGAAAATGCATTTCAAATGGAAAAGGGAAGGTGTAATGCAAGGTGTGTCGAGTGTGGAGCTCTTCCTTCGCTCGCTTGGGTTCCGTGAGTATTCACGTTATCTGAGCTTCAACTTCCCATTCACACATGAGCGCTCCTTGCTGGCGAACCTGAAGTGGTTTCCATGGCGCGTTGACGAGCGCATGTTCAAGGCTTGGCGGCAAGGACGGACTGGCTATCCCTTGGTGGATGCTGGAATGAGGGAGCTATGGGCAACAGGATGGCTGCATAATCGAATTAGAGTGGTTGTATCAAGCTTCTTTGTCAAAGTCCTGCAGCTCCCTTGGAGATGGGGAATGAAGTACTTCTGGGATACCTTGCTAGATGCCGATCTTGAGTGTGATGTGCTTGGATGGCAGTACATCTCAGGAAGCCTTCCCGACGGGCATGAGCTTGACCGCATGGAGAATCCAGAGGTGGGTGTGCCCCTTGCCTCAATTTGAGGTACCGTGAGTTCGGAGCCCCCTTCCCATTGTCCGTTGCATTTGCTATTTTCCCTGTCCCCCCTTCCCCCCCTTCACTCCACCTGTTATTTGTATTGATGCTTCTGTAGACCATCAGAAATGGACGAGAGGATGAAGAACGAAGTATACGAAGGACAGATTGCGAGGGCATGCACAGGAACTAGCAAGCCGGGTGAGTCCTCCATCTGGGATATTGGCAGTGGAAAAAGGGAAGACAGACAGACATTGCATCATGTGAGTTCCATCACAGGGGGTTTAAAATTGCCACACTGTTGAGATGAATCTGACATTGAAACACTGTCACTTGTATTTCCTCTTCCTCGTCTCTGTATTCTCTGCTGTGATTGTGCAAAAGATCTGCATACAACACATCTTAGGGCAGTAGCCGTTGGCCAAGCCTACGGTCAAAGGCTGTCGTACAGCCTCCCAAGAGGCATCAGAAAGTCGTTAGGTCGGTAGCGCCGGGGGCGAGGTGTCAAATCGAGGTTCCTGGGGCCTCTCGACTTTAAATAGTCAGGCTGGAGGAAAGCCAATAGGCAGGCCCAACCCGGAGACATAAGAGTCTAAGATGTCCGAGGAGTCCACCACGGCCACAGTAAGCATGCAAACTCGGTGCAGTTCCCAGAAGCTTCCAAGGCCCACTGGGTCAAGACACACACTGGCCACGGCCAAATACTGGGGGCACAGGTCAGGAAATCTCAGCCATATGAGGAGGTAAGTGGAGACAGGCCTTGCCGAGTCCAAGCACCAATTACTCGGCGTGCCCCAGGACTTGGATTCATTCTGCCTCATACTGCTTTAAGCCTGTAGCGCTAGGGCTGCAGATCACAGACAAAGTGCGAGTGCGAGTAGCCGGCACCATGGCTGAGTGTGAGAGAGAGGTGGTGATGTTTCAGCGGCGATGACATGCTGCGCCGAGTGTAGAGCAGAGTGCGTGTGTGTGTGTGCATGTGTGTGTGCGTGTGTGTGTGCGTGTGTGTGTGTTTGCGCGCGCGCGTGTGTGTGTGTGTGTGTGTGTGTG